GTATTACGAGAGGGAATGACTTGGATATCGGGGAGGTCCTGTACGAGTTTATAGTTATTTCGCGGCGAAGATGGGAGAGGGGATTGTGATCGGGAGACATCTGCTCTCTGACGTAGGGACTAAGGATGTTCGGATGAAGTGCGAGGAATAGAACTTTTAGCAGAGGCTTTGGAGTACGATAATCTAGAGATGTCTGCATTTTCTAGAAAGGAAAACTTATTATAACTGACGAATGAATATGGGGTGCTACCGTTTTTTGGTGAAAGTAAAGGGAAATTATGATAATCATCATCCGTAAAGTGAACACTACAGGTACTACCTAAGTCAGCGTTGGATCTAAAAGTAGATCGAGAGTCAGTAGACGATAGCCTACTCCTGGCATCCACAAGAGAGATATTTTCGATGGCTGCGATCGTCTGTACTTTTTTCTGTTTGATAAAGAGAGGGCAATTTGTCGACGTAGTGATATGATCTCCAGAGCAATTGATACACTTGGGGGGGGAGATTTTGCCTCTCACATGTCTCGTCCTCTCTGTGAGCATCCTTATCACACAGTCTTCGACTCTTACAAAACTTTCGGATGTGGCCAACCCTGAAGCAAGAAAAGCACGTTTTGACTCTAGAGACAAAAGGCAAAACCTCGTGAGAATCGTAGAAAAGAAATACTTGCCTGGGGAAGATCTGCCCAGCAAATTTAATATAAACCGAGGTGGAAAGGATGTATTCAACATTGCCTTCTTTAACAACGCACCTGTTAAGTCTTTTTCGGTTACGGGACAAGAAGACTTAAGATTTAATTTGAGTTCTTGATCCGTTACAGAGGTCGGAACGTCCCTTATTATACCTGAGCGCATTATCTTAAAAGTAGGAATAAAAATAGAGTACCCTGCCTTGATGAAGTCTGGGTTAGTCACAAGGTTGTTAGCTGTTTCGTAAGTGCGCATTTAAACGAAATTTTACCATGTGAGACCTTTTTCATAGATACTATATCTGAGTACACTACCTTAGCAACTTGTCTCTTCATTAAAACTTCGAATGCATTCTCGGTTATGCAATCACTGCTCACTTGCATATGGACAATAAAAGGCGCGCGATCAGTCGGGCCATACTTGTTATCAGAGAGGTTATGAGAAACCTGATGAGCACGAGTCGCATTGTCAGGTAGAAAGACAGAAATAGAGACAGAAGCAGCTTTGTCCGGGCTTAGGCCCGGTCCATTGCGACGCTTGGCGTACTCATGCTCATGCTCGAGCACCGAGTCCTCATTGGCTCTTTTGCCCGCGCCATCCATTGTAACGTCTATCTGCTCGCGTGAATCGTTTGTTACTCTGGCAAATATTTCCTTGGCGAAGGCATCAAAATGCTCAACCAAAACACTAGTGAGGGTGACGCCATTCGCAGAAATCAGGGGAGGGGGAGAGGAGGGCCCGCCGGGATCCCCGTCCCATCTCCCGTAGGAGGCACACTCATAGTTTTTCAAAATACTGCTAAAAATATAGGCAAGGAGAATTAGGCGCAAATAGAAAGGAGATAAAGAAGGAATGCGAGTCAAATAATGACTCAGAAAAGCACAGGGCGCTCTAAAAAAATCGAATGATGCAACACACGACGCGACACTAAAGACACGTCCGCCCCGGTCGAAAACACGCGCTCTTATTGTATGACGTCTATGATCTATTTATTTCGACCTCTACTTACCGCTAAAGCCAAGATTGGAATCTGAGTTCAGATATTGGAGATCAGATTTGAGATCTGAAAAAGGACTATTGACTCCCGTACATAGAACGCGACAACGTTTGTCGCGCGACAGAAGTTGGCGCGATAGCCAATCAACGTCTCGTTTGTTTGAAAATAATAGATATATAATTTCCACCGCGTGACAAAAGTTCAACTCAATATCCAACTTTTGCCGCGCGGCGAAGATAATATTACATTATTTCTAGAAGTTTTGCATGGTGAGGCCGACTTAAGAACATAGAATTACTGGTGTGGTAACTTCCGTCGCGGTAAACGTTGCCGCGTTCTGTGTGCGGGATCCATTGGTCGGCAAAGCGGCTAATCTGCTCGTTAAGCAATTAAATATGATTGGTTAAATCCACAGGTAAAAATCAATTATGCTCATTTGCTCGACATATCTAGCCTCTTGAACTTGCCCATTAGGCGTTCAGAAACTTCAGATATAATTTATTATCCAAAGCGTTCAGAAACGCTTTTTGGGTCACTCCGAGATCACTCTACCGTCAACCTATTTTTGAGTTGGATAAAAATTGCTCCCCATGCGCACCGCAAAATCGCGTATCTAATGGGACAAAGACTAAAGTTAAGTTCCACAATTATCTGAAACCCATCGAAAAAAAATGTTGCAATCTTTCTGTGACCGGTTATATGTATGTATGTATGTACATACAATATAAAAATATAGGCCCGTATTCAGAACATGCTTTTATCGATAAAAGCACGCTTTTATCTTTGAAATTCTATAGTATGTGTGATGTAAATTATAACATGTTAGCGCACTAACATCATTGTAAGCGCGTTCTGAATAAGGTAGAGACAAGATCCCATTTTCTATTCAGCTGCGCAAATATTTTTTTGCGCATTATTAGCGACCATGTTTTTGGTGGCCAATCCCGATCAAAGCAGAGAACCCACAGTTTCTCCGTTATTGCAATCGCGCCATGACATACGCTGCGCTTGCTTAGTGATGAGACACTACATGTCTCTTGAATAGCTGATTACAGCAATTAATTTTATGAAGCAATGCGACTGTGCGTAGATGATCACCGATTTGGTGGAAGATTCTGAAAAGTTAAAATTTTTTGTCTCTTTTTTTTGTTGTATATTTTGTTGAGTATAGGCATGGTTCCTAATACTATTGATACGATATTTGGTCACCAAAGATATGGCGGATCCTGAAAACTCGTCTGAAAAAGACCAAACGGTGCTGCTTGTCCCTACTGTATATCCTTATATTGTACTTCGAGTTTGATCTTTTTATGACTCCTTATTACTCTGTGGTTGGGGCATATGAATCCAAAGATATGTTCGCGTCGCACGCTCCAATATGCCTAATACGCTTCAATATGTTCGCGTCACCGGAACCAATATGGCGATTAGATGTTCGCGTCGCGTTAGAGCATACTCTATGGATCAATTAAGAGGACGCTTCATTTGCCTCACTTATTTAAAATGCCTTTTCATGCGCAGCATGCTGCTGCAGCAAAAATTTCACGTGATGCCAATTTTTCATAATTGCTTCCGTTGCATTTGCTGTGCATGAAAAGAAATAACGGCAACAACATATATATTAAAGTTTAATCTCAAATATGTGTCTTTTATTTGCTCAACTCAAAAATTAATATGAAAAACTTAAAAGGCTAAAAACTTGTGATTATATGGCAACTGTTAGTGCAGTTACAATTTGGATAACTATCATTTCAGGTAATTATTGGGTCATCTAAAAAGTATCCGCGGTTTTTTGTCACTAGATGTGTATTGATGGTCATATATCTAGTGACAAAGTACCGCGGATACTTTTTAGATGACCCAATATTTAGAATTTAGAATATCCCCATCACTTCAAATCTTAATAAAATATGTATTCATTGTATGTACTTATTATAAATGTTCAATTTTCACATTTTTTGCAAATATTGCAGACTTTCTCGGCTTCGAATTCATTACTGCTCGTTATTCGTTCGATTGAACTTCAATGAGATACGGCAAAATATATTTTGCGTCGGAAGTGCGTCATCTCATGTAAAATTTTTAACCAATAGTTACGAATTGCTGTCGCAGCGTGCTGCGTATGAAAAGTCAGTTTTAGAAAGTGGTACGATTGGGGCATGTTACGCACGCATGCGTAATGATTGAAAACATATTGTATCGAAAAAAGTATTTCAGATTCATTTTGTATACAAACGCATTTAATAAATAAAAATATAATATATATAATAATATAATGTAATTTCCTATCTTATTATAATATAATGTAATATTAATAAAATAAAATAGTAAAATAAAATAAAATAAATAAATAAAATTAATAAAATTAAAAAAATTTTTTTAAATAAAATAAAATAATATTAATACAATATAATATAATATAATATAATATATAATAATATAAAAATATAACTTTTATATTTATTAAAAACGCATTTTTTTTGTATAAAAACGCTTTTCAAATAATCGAAGTGACACAAAATATCCGAAACGAAACACAGGCACATGTCCGACCTGTTCGAATGATCTCACGGATTAGGTTAGATGACATGTTCACTTGTCCTAAGGTTTATTCGTGTCGCATACTTCAAATTAACCCAGAGAGCACTTGGATCACAGGTAAGATGGCGGGTGGAGGAGTTTCGTATGAGTGTTAAA